CTGAACAACATGAACAAAATGAAGAGTGTGCTTCTGTTGATGATAGTGATTCAGAATGTGAGGAGTTCAATGATAGTGACTATGATATGGATGAGGATGATATTTTGTTTCACAGAAATGTTGATAAAGATGCAGAATTTGTTGGGGTGAATGGAAAAAATAATGGTAAATCAATTGAAAATGAGTTTTTGTCTGAGGGTATATTTGAGGAAGAGCATGATCTTGAGTTAGGGGATAGTGATTCATTTGAAAGTGTTAGAGGGTCTGATGAGGAGGATAATATTGTGAAATTCCCTAAATATAATCCTAAAACTGATAAAAACCCTGAGTTGAAGTTAGGGATGATTTTTAGTACAAAATCAGAGGCTAAGGATGTTATTCAGGGTTTCTGCTATAGAAGAGGGATGGTGGTTCGTTTTGATAGGAATGACAAGAAGATTGAGAGCTAGGTGTACCACAGAGTGGTGTGGGTGGTATATTTTTGTTTCACCAATGCAAAATGACTCATCTTGGCAGGTGAAGTGTTATGAGAAAAACCACAAAGGTTGTTCTTGGAACTACAATAATCCTAGCATCAAATCTGGGTGGATAGGGAAGAATTTCATGAAAAAGTTTAAGAAGTACCCTAAGTTAGGAGTCAATGAGTTTAGGGGTATGTTGTGTACCAAGCTGAAGTCCAATATTTCTAAGCAACAAGCCTACAGGGCCAAGAAGAAAGCAATGATGCTTCTAGATGGAACATTAAAAGAACAATTTAGTACAATCAGAAGCTACTGTTTAGAGTTGTTAAGGTCCAATGATGGTTCAACTATTGTCTTAAAACTGAGCAATTGTGAAGAACAATCAAGGCAACCTGTGTTCCAGAGACTGTATGTTTGTTTTGATGCCTGCAAGAATGGTTTTAGGCACTGCAGAAAAATCATTGGTGTTGATGGGTGCTTCTTGAAAGGCCCCCAAGGTGGTCAGCTCTTAACAGCAGTGGGAATTGACCCAAATAACCAGATTTTTCCTGTTGCTTATGCAATAGTTGAAAATGAGAATAAAGATTCTTGGATGTGGTTTTTGAGGTTGTTACAGAATGATTTAGGGATTGATAATGAACTTGAATGGACTTTCATGAGTGATAAACAGAAAGGGCTTATCCCTGCCTTTGAAGATTTGTTCCCCAATGCTGAAAACAGATTTTGTGTTAGGCATTTACACAGCAACATGAAAAGAGATGGGTTTGTTGGTCAGTCAATAAAAAATGCTTTGTGGGCTGCAGCCAGAGCAACTAGGGTGGAAGTTTTTAATGCAAAGATGGATGAATTGAAAGAGTTGGATCCAAAGGCTTATGAGTGGCTGGTAAATAAACCTCCTCATCAATGGTCTCGGTCTCACTTCAAAACTTCACTGAAGTGTGATATTTTACTGAACAATATGTGTGAGTGTTTCAATTCTTTCATCTTGAATGCAAGGGACAAACCAGTCATTGTGATGCTTGAGACAATAAGGCACTTGTTGATGGCTAGACTACAAGTGAATAGAGATGCAGCTAAAAACTGGTCTGGGAGGATCTGCCCTAGAATTAAAAAGATACTTCAAAAAAAAATGAAAGATGGTGCAGAGTGTATTCCCATGAAAAGTGATGATTGGCACTTTGAAATCATAGGCCCTTATGATCAACACACAGTTGATGTTGCTGGACTGAGTTGTAGCTGTAGAAAATGGGATTTGACAGGAATCCCTTGTAAGCATGCATGTGCTGCCATTTGGTGTAGACATGAAGATCCTGAGTGCTATGTTGATGACTTGTATAGTCAAAACACATACAGAAGTGCATATGAAAATGCCATCATGGGGATTTCATGTTCTGAATTGTGGCCTAAATGTGATTTACCAGCTCCTTTGCCACCAATATATGAAAATAGGCCTGGTAGGCCCAAAAAATTGAGGAGGAGGCAACCTGATGAGCCTCCTGCTCCATCCTCTCAAACCAGGCTTAAAAAGGTTCAAAATTCAGTGAAATGTGGAAAGTGTGGTAAACAAGGCCACAACTTTAGAACTTGCAAAAATCAACAGTCTGAAAGTAGAACTCCAGTGGCAAGAAGCATGGGTGGCACTCAGTCTCAGTCACAATCTCAATCTCAGTCTCAGTCTCAGTCTAAGCATCACTCTCAGTCTCAGAAAAGATCAAAGCTACCTGAAAGTATAATTTGATGAAAGTATGATTTGATTTGATTAGTTGTAACTTTTATTATTCAATATCACTCTTCAATTACATGTAACTTTTATTATGTTGGAATGACAGGTTAAGAGGAGGAGAGAGTCTGCCACACTTGGTGGTGTAAACTTAAGTGGAGGCACAAACAGAGTGTCTTCAATTAATGTAAGTTTTTTTTTTTCAATCTTTTGTGCATGTTGTTTTTTTTCATATATATATATATATAATATTTCACAATTTTTCTACTTTTAGATGATGCAATCATCTTCTGGAACTGGACCAGTCATTGTGAAGGGAGGTGTCAACTACATTACCCTTTCAAATTTAAGAGCTGCTGCTGCTGCTGCTCAGGGGACTTCAAAGCAAAATGAGAGACAAAAATCCATTTGAGGGTATGCTGGAGATGGAGAATGTATTGATTTGTTGTGTGAGTGTTATGGACATGTTTGATTGTTGTAGTGTGCACTGGAATAGAACCTTTGTTCTGTAGTGATGTTTTTTTGGTGTGAAGCTTTGGTTTGGATGTGTTTTAGGTTTGTTCAGTTTTGGATATCCTTTGTCTGTCCTTAATGGTACATGAATATTGCAATGACTCTTTGTTCAGGTTTTGTTCAGTGTTTGGTAACAAAGTGAACCTTTGTTAAGTTTTTGTTCAGGTTTTGTTGTGGTTTAGGAGTCTTCTTCATATTGCAAATACATAACAATACTCATTGAAAACCAAATGCTGAAAATGGTACATGAATTGCATAACAATATTCATACTGAAAATGGTACAGGAATTGCATAAATAAAGCATTACATAATAACAATACTTCAAATTACACCAACCATAACTATCTAAATCTAGTTAGAACATAATTTGACAAGGTATAACAATGAGAGAAGAATAGTAGCAGCCTATAATTTTTTTTATCTTATTCTTGCACACAACCAATGCATTATTCATGTCATTCACATTGTTCATTGCCACCAAGAGCTGAGTTTCCAATTTAGCATTCTTCAACTTGTATTGCTCAAATTCAACCAATGCATTCTTCATGTCATCCACTTTTTTCATTGCCACCAAGAGTTGAGCTTCCATTTCAGCATTCCTCAACTTGTATTGCTCAATTTGATATTGATGTCTATTTGATTTTTCCAGCAAACCGGGTATAATATTCTTTGCTCTTGCGCAAATTTCCGGATCATACCATATAAAAAACCCACAAAAACCGAACTTTTGCTGCAAAATTGGAATTTAGGGCATATTTAGGGCATTTGAAAAAATCACTCTTAGGGCATTCGAAAAAATCATAAAAACAAAATGAAAACACAAACAAAAACAAAATAATTACCCCATATTTAGGGCATGCCCAATATCTTCTTCCCGGATTATTTTGGGTCCAAGAGGTCTTCAAGTATACTTTATCTCCACACTTGCAGGTCATCTCCATTGGAGCACCATTCTCGGAGTTCCAGCTCGAGCTTCCTCTTGAACTGCTCATTGCAAATCAAAGTCTTTTTTTTTTCCTCACTGTCTGCAGCTTTGTGGTGCTGTAATGGAGAAACCCGCCATTTTGTATCACTTGCAGAAGGAGACGACCTGCTAGAGAAGGTGTCCGTCAGTTGACTCACGGTCAACTGACGATTTGGGCAAAAATGATGCATTTTAGATACGTCAATGACTACAAGTGATTAAGTTGAAACCACGGGTATCAAAACTGAAAAGTAGGTAAACTTAGGGTACCAAAAGTGAAATTTTCCCTTAAATGAATCTTGTCCCTAATTATATATATATATATATATAGATTATATATAAGGCCATTTTTATCATTTTCATACGTGGATCCATATTTATTATATTCATATTTCATATACAATATTTATCATTTATTTATTATGATTTTTTCACAATCATTAAATTTAATCATTTCTCTATATTAAAAATTTAATTCTATTACAACCAAGTATTATTATTATTGTTGTTGTTACAACTTACATCCAAACAGCTATCGGCGTACGTCACTGCTTACGACAGCGAGGCCTGATATTTCGCTCGCGAAAGTCGGTTTACCCTACCCGACCACCACTATATATCCTCGCCTCCACCGATCTTATTACACAAATCAAACACATCTACTTTATCTATAATAATCGATTCAATCATAAGTTCTTCAAAAGCTTACTGAGTTTTCGGCTCATCAAACACTTCCAGTTCAAGGTAAAATCGAATCTCTTAATCCGACCGATTAAAATTATTTATGTTCTTCGTGTTTTTTTTTTTTTGTTCGGATTTGTGCATGTATTGGTATAGTTTTATGCGGAGATTTGTTGGTATGTTTCATCTTATCACGATTGATGTGTAGAGTATCGTAGATCTGTGTTTTAATTTCCGTCGATATTGATTATTAGAGCTTGTTCGTTGTGTTTGTCTGATCGTAATTGTAGATCTGTCCCTGATTTTGATTTGAGTGGATTGTTAGGGTTTGCTCTATCTGTCCGCGTGACTGAATTGATATTCTGATCTAGATTGGGCAGAGTCCAGAATTAGATTGATTATTCATAATTAGGTTTTATATCTTATGATCCTGAACAAGTGAGTTTGATTGATAGTTTGATACTCTGAATTGAGAAAATTATCTGATATCGGTCTCTTATGAAGTCCAGTATGAGTGCTAGCGAGGTATTATGTCGAATGATTCTGTAGAAGAGTTTAGAAGCTGATATGTTTCAGTGTGAAATTTTATGTTGAAGTTTAGATCAATGGGAACATGTTTTCAGCTGAATTATCCGTGGTAATGCTTGCTGATCATGTACTCGATGCTTTGTAAGGTGTGGATGCGTGGCCTTCGTTTCACCGGGATGCCTTGTTGTGTATAATTGCTGATATATATATATATATATATATATATATATATATATTTTGTGAAATTCAGATGCAGATCTTTGTGAAGACCCTAACCGGCAAGACCATTACTCTCGAGGTCGAGAGTTCCGACACCATTGACAACGTCAAGGCCAAGATTCAAGACAAGGAAGGAATTCCTCCAGACCAGCAAAGATTGATCTTTGCCGGAAAACAACTCGAGGATGGCAGGACCCTAGCAGACTACAACATCCAGAAGGAGTCAACCCTCCACCTCGTCTTGCGTTTGAGGGGTGGCATGCAGATTTTTGTGAAGACTCTGACTGGGAAGACAATCACCCTGGAAGTCGAGGGTTCAGACACGATTGACAACGTCAAGGCCAAGATTCAGGACAAGGAGGGTATTCCCCCAGATCAGCAGCGCCTGATCTTTGCCGGAAAACAGCTCGAGGATGGCAGGACCCTAGCGGATTACAACATCCAGAAGGAGTCCACTCTCCATCTTGTCCTCAGGCTCCGTGGTGGGATGCAAATCTTCGTCAAGACCCTCACTGGAAAGACAATCACCCTTGAGGTCGAGAGTTCGGACACCATTGACAACGTCAAGGCCAAGATCCAGGACAAGGAGGGTATTCCACCGGACCAGCAGCGCCTGATCTTTGCCGGAAAACAGCTCGAGGATGGCAGGACCCTAGCGGACTACAACATCCAGAAGGAGTCTACCCTCCATCTTGTCCTCAGGCTCCGTGGTGGGATGCAGATATTTGTGAAGACCCTTACGGGCAAAACCATTACTTTGGAAGTCGAGAGCTCGGACACCATCGACAACGTGAAGGCGAAAATCCAGGACAAGGAAGGAATCCCACCGGACCAGCAGAGGCTGATCTTTGCCGGAAAGCAGCTGGAGGATGGCCGTACTCTAGCAGATTATAACATCCAAAAGGAGTCCACCCTTCACTTGGTCTTGCGTCTGAGGGGTGGAATGCAAATCTTCGTGAAGACCCTTACTGGTAAAACTATCACCTTGGAAGTCGAAAGCTCGGATACAATTGATAATGTGAAGGCTAAGATTCAGGACAAGGAGGGCATCCCGCCCGACCAGCAGAGGTTGATATTTGCTGGTAAACAGCTCGAGGACGGGAGGACCTTGGCCGATTACAACATCCAAAAGGAGTCGACCCTCCATCTCGTCTTGCGTTTGAGGGGTGGGATGCAGATATTCGTGAAGACTTTGACCGGCAAGACAATCACCCTAGAAGTGGAGAGCTCAGACACGATCGACAATGTGAAGGCGAAGATTCAAGATAAGGAGGGGATTCCGCCAGATCAGCAGAGGCTTATATTTGCCGGGAAACAGCTTGAGGACGGGAGGACCCTTGCGGATTACAATATACAGAAGGAGTCGACCCTCCATCTTGTGCTCCGTCTTCGTGGTGGTGGTTGTTTATAAGGATTTGGTTTTATGATGGTGTTTTATCTTGTTTCAAGAACTTATGTGTGTTTGCTCTTCTCTTTAATGTTTTCTTTGTGTTTGACTGTGTTTGTGTTGGGACTTAGCTTTGTTTGGTGATATGATGCTTTGTTTGGGTTGTTAATGGGAGCTTTAGTTTATTTTGAACTTTATATGATTGTTGGTTTGAAAGAGTAAAGACACTTCTACATTTTACCAGTGATCAAAGCTTATGGTAACTAACCTTGTGCTATATGGGCTTTATTTATTTCTTTATTTAGGTTCATGTCGTGTTTATTTATGCCTTATTATGACCAGTTTATTTCACATGGGGAAACAATAATGTTCTAACAATTTGGAATGAAGTTTATGAGGAATTAGGCTCCCAGTCCCATGTTAAGATAATATTATCTGGTACATGAATACAATTTTGTGAAATTCAATTCTGGTTCCATTATCTTGCTCCTATAGAGACAGACAAAAAGATGCAATTTACAGCACAGTTTTGATGCCCTTGAAATATTTATCAAGACATATTTTGGTTGTGTAAGTTTTTGTCTTTGACGCTTATGGTTTCCGTACAATGGATGATTAGTCTTGTTAGAACCTTCAATTTCATTTATTTCAAGTTTGTCGGAAAATATTTGATCATTTTTTATGGATATAATTAGGATATACGACTACGAATGATATTAAATTTATGCATAATTATGAACTATTGTCTCTCTTTAAATTTAAGTTACTTTGCATGGGTGGCTAAATGAAAATTTCAAATTGGGACAAAAACAGAACCATAAATAGGGATTAACGGTCAACTTTTAGTCCGTCTGTTCATATGCATTCTTTCACTGCATATTTGAATATTGCTTGTCTGTGACACTTAGGGCATCTACATCCGAAGATGTCATTCATTTAATCACCAACTACACTCTGTCTCATTTATATCATATCAAAATCTTCAATCCATTAAACATTCTTCTATTTAAACACTTTTCTACATTCATTAAACTTAGACATTAAATAATTCATCTCCCTGACAATACATGTTTCAATTTTCAGATCTTAAACTCTCTCTCTCTCTCTCTCTCTCTCTCTCTCTCTCTCTCTCCTAGAAAAAAGTCCCCTTGCGAACAGTAAATAATTTCATATCTAGATCTGCCTCCTCGCTGCCTCAACTCCCTTCTCCTCCTTTGGGCGGCCGGTGCTGAAGGTCGGCAACCTCGTCCCCTCCCCTTGTGCGCCCCTTGCGAGTTGTGGCCGGCGTCAGGTGGGTCAGCTTCCTCAGCGGTTTGGGATGTCAGTTTTTTACCCTTTCAAGTCGAAGCCGAAGGGAGTTAGGCATGTGGCCGTACGGCGTCTCTGCGGTTCAAGCGTTGCGCGTCGCTGTCGAGATCCCTAATGCGACGTCCCCGTCCTCCTCCCTCCCTTTTTTGTTCGCACTATCTGTCTCTCGGGCTGGCCTCCCCGCCGGGTGCAGCTGTTTTCCCCTTTGTTTTGGGTTGGGTGGATTGGGTTTGGGGCCTTTAGGTGCTGTATGAAGGTGGTTGTCAACACTGAAGGCTTATTCTGGGTCGAGAGATTCTGCTCTAACTAGCCATAGCTGTTTTGGAATTTGGAGTTTCTGGACTGATGTTCTTGACTACGATCGAGCTTTCTTTGTAGATTAATTTTGTTTTGTTGCTTTGAGAGGTATAGTGCAAGTGTTGTCAACGGTGGCGGGGAGGGCTTTATTGTATTATTTAGGTGTGTGTGGTAGTTTGTTCGGTTTGCGTGTTGTATGCGTGTTTTTGTATGTTTTCGGTTTTTCTCTCCCTTTGGGAATGTGTTTTTTGTCGTCTCCTTTCGGTACGAGTATTTGTAGTCTCCCTTCAGTAGGAGTATTTAGTTTCCCTTGTGGAATTTTTTAGTATCTTAGGTGTGAGTGTGTCATGGGTTTTATTTATTTGGCCGTGAATGGTCATGTAGGGGAACACTTGTAGTGTTTTCCCCCGTTTGGTTTCTTTTCTAGTCTAGGCTAGTAAAGATTGTCAAGTGTAATCCGTTGATTACCGATTTGTACTTCCGATGTGTGGTAATACAATTTGATGTTTTGGCAAAAAAAAAAAAAGAAAAAAAAGAAACTTAGACATTAAATGGTGTGGGATCCATTAAACAACATTATATTATATAAATTAAAAGCAAGTGCAAGATAAGTAATATTTTTTTACTTATTTTGGCCCCACATTTTCATGTTTAATGTCATTCAATGGAATGAATAGCAAATGTGAGGCTCACTAGTTTTGGCATCAAATGAATGAATGAATTGGTTTGAATGACATATTTAAATGCCGATGATATACCTTTAGAGCATTTGCATCAATGCGTTAATGTGCCGTTTAAACGAGTCTATCCTCCATTTAAACCAATGCAAGCGTTCATTCAATGAGAAAAAGTTATGGGGCCCACTAATTGTGTTAAGAGTATTGAACGCCCACTAAAGAGTTAAAAATAGGAAATAAATTTCCAATTCCCCGACAAACATTAAAAAGTAGTGGGACCATGAAATTATATATTATTTATGATGGATCCCTCATTTTGTATTTAAATGAATGAACAAATATGGATGTGTGTTTAAATGAGGAGATGTTTTGTGAAAAGATGATGTGGATATGATGTGGATGAGAGAGAGTGTAAATTTTGATTGAATGAATGTGTATGGATATGGATGCCCTTACAAAAAGACATAACTTTAATTTCACATTTCATGAAATAACAAAAAGTCTTGATTGATTGGGACCGTTGTCGCGATATGTATTACGGGACCTATTTTCTTTCCTCACGAGATCCCAACATATCGGCTATTTGTCATTTTTTTTTTCCTTTTTCCATTTTTTATCCCTTTTATCTTTAATTTAGTTTAGAAAAATTGATAACAAACTAAAAGATTATTAAATTTTAGAATATATTTATAAGTTAAGGTAGTTAGGTATTTTATAATTTTAATAGTTTTGTTCACTAAATCTGGGCATATAAGACTTGGAATGAGCAGAAATCTAAACTACGTATTTAGGGTAGACATTTATGCATACATATTTTATTGGGTCACCACTTTATGGATATTCATGCATTCGTTCATTTCGTGGTTTGACATTGTTAAAGAGTTTTAGCCAACCTTGCAATCTAAAAGTTTTATTTCCCCTCTTATGTATTGACAAAATTATATTCTGGATAATACAATATACTTGGTATCTTCAACTAATTTTTACATTTCTACATTATATTGTGAGAAAGCTTAATTGCTTGGCAAGTCTATTAGTCATACAATTTGAATAAAAATACATACTTTTACTATGAAATGTTATGCTAGACAAACAATTTTTAATATTTATTAAACAATGTATTTTTTTTTGACATAAATCCAAAGCTAATTTGGATAGCAGAGCCCCGCATTCGGTTTCGTTATTGGTTGTTGCGAACAAATACATAACATAGTTGCAAAACAATCTCTTCTGATGATAAACTAGGACGAATCTTCCACCAACTCGGTTGGCGGTGGAAGAACCATCCACATGCATCACCCAAAGTTCATCATTCGGAAGTTCCTCCATTCGTAGGATGAATTCGGCCGTAAAGTCGGACAATATTTGCCCTTTGTTGGTCGTTTGGGGCTAATAGTGCATATCAAATTGACCCAACTCGACTGCACATTTGATCATCCTTCTTGATATAGAATATTATACTAGACCGGATTTAATCACAAGACCGATTTTAATTTATAAGAATGAATATATTGGATAATAAGCCTACACATGGGGCTATGACACGTGGTATAATGGTATTGGACAAGCCTAACTTGTGCGATAAGGTACACCCCTCCAATGAAAGGGGGCTAAGGTATCTCATTAACTCATATTCTCTACATTCATTATTATTTTCTTGGGATTTTGAGTTTTGTAGGGATATTGACTTAGGCATCGGAGGCCCGACACTGGGACACCCACCGGCGTTGGGTTCTTCCAGGTACAGAGGTCGGAAGAGTTGAAGGAGCCCGAGTGAAGTCCATTTTACGAACATTGCCGCCTTCTGTGGTGACAGTTCGAAAAGCCAAACGAAGTTCGACCGAAAAAATTAAAAAATTTTCCAGCAAGCTCTTTCACCTCCACCGCCGGTCGCCGAAAAATGTGTTCCAATCGGAAAATTGTTTACGTGACCGGGAAGATCTACTCGAGGTGAATCTCCCCTTAGAACTTCATGCAAACATTCCTCAGGGAAGACCTTCAATTTTACGGTAAAACATTTCGGATCTAGGAACATTTTGGTCAAACTCCGACATTCAAATGCATTTTTCTGACGATCTGTGATGGCTATGAAAAATCCGAGGGCACCAGCAGAATCCACTCGTCGGGGCAAATCTCCAGGTACCGACCTACACCGGACGCGCTGCCATCGTCGCCTCCTCCGCCGCCAGCCGCGGTCAAAGTTGTCCGATCTGAAAAATTCTATGTCATTGGGAAGCTCTTCTCGCGCTCATTCTCTCCTTAGAATATCATGCCAAAATTCCTCCGGAAAGACCGTCAATTTTGCGGTCAAAGTTTTTGGATCTAAGAGTTTTCTAGTCAACTCCGGTCTTCTTCCTAAATTTTTCGGTGACTCTCGGTGACTCACTTCGAACTGACGACACCATTGGATTCCCCTCGTCGAGACGCGCGTGTGGCAGGTTGTGTTCGCTGGAACGGACGACATTTTCCGACAGCCTTTTTCCGGCGAAGTGTGCTTGGAGAATTGTTGCAGTACCCGCACAGTTCATCCTGAATCCTCAGCCTGGCAAGGATGGTGAAACCCAGCATCTGACAACCCATGAGAGGAGCCTAACACGCAGCCCAGTGTGCCCTTGGCCCAAAATCGTGTATGGTTGGCTCAGCAAGGAGGAGGCCGAAGAAGAAATCTGTTGCATAGCACCTCCAGCGTGCGGGCTACGCATGGCCCGCGCATCTCACAATTTTCGGCCCGCCAGGGCCCGA